GTTTATAAAGATGTCTGATTTCACTTTATGTCACTGAGAAAATAAATAATTAAACCAAGAGATCACTTTTTACCCATCAGGTTGGTAAAAACTCGTGTAGTACAAGTATTGGGGCATGTGGAGAAATGGAAACACACGTGCATGTCATGTGGGATAGAAATTAGAATAGCCATTTGGAAGAGTAATCTGGCAGCATCTAGTAAAATTGAAAATAGAAATACCTTACCACCCATTCTACTTATGGGTTGATATACTAGAGAGACTCTCCTACTTGGATTCGTGGATATACATGTGCTAGAGTCTGGATGTGTTGTCCCCCCAAAGCTCATGTCAAAACCTGATCCCCAACTTGGCAATGTTGGGAGCAGAGCAGAGTGGTTTGGGTTATAGGGGTGGATCCCTCATGAATCGATTAACTGGGGGGTGTGGGTGTGGGGAGTGAGTGAGTTCTTGTTCTGTTAGTTCCCATGAGAGCTCGAAAATAGAAATACCTTACCACCCATTCTACTTATGGGTTGATATACTAGAGAGACTCTCCTACTTGTATTCGTGGATATACATGTGCTAGAGTCTGGATGTGTTGTCCCCCCAAAGCTCATGTCAAAACCTGATCCCCAACTTGGCAATGTTGGGAGCAGAGCAGAGTGGTTTGGGTTACAGGGGTGGATCCCTCATGAATCGATTAACTGGGGGGTGTGGGTGTGGGGAGTGAGTGAGTTCTTGTTCTGTTAGTTCCCATGAGAGCTCATGGTTTAAAGGACCCAGCACCTTCTCCCTCTCTCTCTTTCTCTCTCACTCGCTTCCTCTCGCCATGTGATCTGCCTGTATCAGCAAGTTGCCATTTTCTGCCTTAAGTAGAAGCAGCCTGAGGCCTGTGCCAGATGCAGCTGTCCCAGAATCGTAAGCCAAATAAACCTCGGTTCTTTATAAATTACCCAGTCTTAGGTAGTGTGTTATATCAACACAAAAATGGACTAATACAACATGTGAGAACATCTATTACACTATTGCTTTTGTAATAGTAAAACATCAGAAACTAAAATTCAACAGGGGACTAAATTGTGGTCTATACATATAAGTTGTATAACATGATATTATACAACTGTTAGAAGGAGGAACCTAGACCTTATTTATAAATGCAAATCTCAAAAACATGATGTCAGCCAAAGAAAATAAGATGTTCAATGTGACACACATTATGATGTCATTTATGTAAACAAAAACAGTTGACAATTGTCATGAATGAATAAGCACTACTCTCAGCTTTAACCATTTAGACAGTTCTAGTCCAGGACTTTCTAACTCCTCCTTGCTACTTACCCAAATAGTACGCATCCTCAAGACACGGTTCAAATCCTACCTTCCTCAGGACTCCCCCAGGCCACAGTGACTCCTTTTATCCTCTGACCCACTCTAATAATTAACACTTCCTTCGTGTGGCCTCATCTGTCTCCTACTATCATTGTGGGGATTAACAAAGGTTCCCCACATAGAATGTTTAGTGTATTTCTTAGTGTATAGTAAGTACTCCTTGACTATTAGCTACTAATATTATTACAAATGTATTTCCTCCCTTTGTTTAGCATGGTACTCTGCCGTAGTAGATTCTCAAAAGATGCTTATTTTTGACTATGAAGATGATGATAACATATTTCTACTAATGATCTATTTGCTCTGCTCAGTTCCTGAGGTGGGGCTTCTGGGGCATTATTTATAGGATATACTAAGTTGATAAGAAATTCTGTAGTCATTTAAGGGTTGGACATTCACAAGTTCCACTGCCTGAGTGCTGAATACTGCACTCTGGGGACCTCGAATGAGCACCAACCCTTATTCCATGCTTAGGTTAGCTACTCCTAGATTCCCTGATGCTATTAGTAGGGCAAGATTTCCAAATCTTCTAGCTCATAGTCACTGAGAGACAGTGTCAGCCTTTTAGAAACCAAGTGTAAATTCTAGGACTTTTTATCTGAGACCTTGAAGACTGAGGAAAACTCCTAATGCTCCTCAACCCATAAACATAGCAACAGAGGTTGGAAACTTTACTAAACTGAGTTGTTTTGACCAGTCATGGACGACTATGCTACACTGACATAGAGCAACCCTAGGAAAGAAGGCGTAAACATAAAAGAATGAAACCAGTGTCTCAGAACATAATTGAAAATGTGATAGATAAGGTTGAAATTAAAGAGTTAATTTTCTAAAGATAGAATTTGCTCGCCAAGGTGTCGGGATTTGGGTAGATCACTCTGGTTTTGCACACAGTCTTGAATTTCTAAAATCACATTTTTTTTCTTTTTGTGACACATATTTTAACTAACAAGTTTTAAGTAGTTAAACGTGTTACTGCATAATTTTAAGTGACAGTATTTCCTTTCATTTGGTACAAAGAAGATAACATTAAAATATAACTGGGAGACCCATGTTCTACTGTTCTAATATTTTCTATCTTAGACTGTGCCAAAATACTCTTTAGAGATCAGTTTCATTATTTATAAAGTGAAATTTCTAAGGTGACTTCTTGATCTCAAATTCTATGATTATATGTGTAAGGGCTTACAATAATACACATTAACATCAAAAAATGTTTATAAGAAACCTATCCAGGCTTACTTTAATTAATGCGATGCTTCCACAATTAGCATAGTATTTGTAAACACATGCACATTTTTAAAGTGCTATTTAAAGAGCTCATTTTCTTAAATAGGTTAAACATTTGGAACCTTATTTACAAGAGTTACCAGGATATTTAATCTTAATACATGGTATTGAAGTCCAACCTTATGTCATAATATATTCACAAACATAAAACTACAGAGGTTATAATTAGCTAGATTTTATTGTACCTTGAAGATCAGAAAGATAACCTCAATATTAATATTAATAATATTTGATTTTTATTTATTTAATAAACACTAGATAGTGATTACCATGTGTCAAACATTGTTCTAATCACTTTACCTTATCAATTCATTTAATCCTCAAGACACTCCTAGAAAGTGGCTACTACCATTATATCACATCTGTTTTACAGATGAGGAAACTGAGGCACAAAGAGTTTGACTAACTTGCCTAAGGCATTAAGAGGCAATGAGAGATTAACCTGCTCATGGCTAGTAAGTGACATGTAGCCTGGATTCAAACTCAAGTCAGCTGGCTTATTTAGTCTGCTATGTTGCTGGAGCTTATAAACCTATAAGCTTTTGTTGTAAAACAGAATACCCAGAGATAAACGAAGGAAGTTATTTAAGAAAAGAACATGTCTTACTTTCTTTAAATACATGCACGCATCCATACACATACAGACAAACCCATACCACACTCTCATGCAGCCTCACATATACACAAAACCAAAGGATAAATTAGACAGATTGGAAATTTACCAAAAAAAATAAATAAATAAATAAAGAAGAAGAAGACGAAAAGAAAAGAAAGAAGAAGAATAGCACCACAGTAGTGGGGATATGGGGATATGGAAGTTAAAACTTTTAGTGTTTTTAGATACAATTTCTATCACCTTACTTTAACAGTTCAAAATGAACCCCCATAAATGTTATGTCGTGGGCAGATATGTTGCATGTACAATGTTAATTATGAACAACCTTATGCAATACCAAAATATGTAGTATTATGGTTTAACATGTATATGAGAGAGACACCCTTTATTTTCCAGTTTGAAGATTTTTTTTTTTTAATTTAAGAGCTCTAACATCTACCTTAAATAAATAGGTAGCAATTTCACCCTCCAGATAGTTTGTTAGTTAAATCACTTTGTGGTGCACTTGGCCTTTAATAACGTACGCTTCTGCCCTCCTTACCAAGCACCTTTGTTCCATCCATAGTGACATTTTTATTCTTTTTCTGCACATTGGAAGATTTCAAACTTAGATTCTAAAATTTCCACATTAGGGCTGAGAGATTATTTTTAAAAGAATTTTTTTATATCAACCACACACGTTTTATATGGTGGAGATGTTCATGTCAGGCCTCTAAGACATCCTCATATGTTTATCAAACAATTATGATAAAACTCTACAGAACAACGGAAATGCCAAGAGACATGAAATGGGGTAAAACAGAGGACTTCAGAAACCTCTCATTAGTGGAAAAACATGTAAGGCATAAAACGAGCGTAGGCAAGTGTCACCGTCTCCACTGACAAGACTGCAGCAGTGAAAAGAAAGGTGGAAGCTAATCACATGCCAGCTAAGAGAAGCCCTCTCTAGCACATCACATGACATTCCTTTCTGGGAACCGGGAGCCTGTCCCATGCTTCCTGGTGTGCTTCTGAGTTAGTCTTTGCAGCGAAGAGACAATTTTGCTTAACTTTTTAATTAACGAGTGTCCTTGCTGATAGACATTGTGAATGAGGCACTTTTTTCTTCCCATTATGGCTTAGACTTTAGATTTAATTACTGTGGAAATGAATCAAGAAACATGACTTCAGGCACAGCATTTTTAATGTCAGCAGAGTGACAATGCCGATTCTCTATTTTAAAGTGTCACTGTCAACCTATCTTTATGATGAGTGATGTGAAAATAATTTTGGGAGGAAGGTTACCAACCCAGAGGCCCTGCAGGCCATGGGAAGATCACCTATTAGTTGCTGCAATTTGAAAGACTTTGTTTGAATAACGACTTAGTGTTATTTTGTACCTACTCATAACTATTTATATGTCAAGAAAATGTGCTCTTCAAATGTCATATATGAAATGTTCAGAGCCCGTTAGCTTGAGCTAATGAGCTAATGCAATATATCCTCCTTGTATATTATCATATGTGTGCATGGACACATTCTCTTTTATTGGCTAAAATGAGTAGGGTGAATACTTAAAATTAATTTCCCTCTCATGTCATGTCATAAGCCATAGAAATACAGCGAAGTTACTAAGTGTTTAGTCCTCTAGTAAAATATGTATTTTAGAAAACATATTTTTAAAAAACAACTCAAAATTATCTTAGGAAAAAAAACCCCAGAAACTTGGAGACACGTGGAATACCTTCTCATACAATCCAGCGCCCGGATAAAGAAGTCCTTGTGCAACTGGTGTTCATCTCTCAGGATGGAGCACTGTTCAAGGGTCACTGACATCGAGGTCCTGTCTTTGGCACTTTTACAACAGGTAAAACGAATACCATTTAGTTTGCGACATATCTGTAACACACATGTAAAAAGTTAATTGTTCCTTTGCAGATTACTATAAAGTACTGGTCTCTTCTAAACACTTTTAGGCTAAACACAACAAATATGTCTTTGGTTTTATGTTAATTGGTGATAGTCAATTGGTTTAATCTGCCCCACCAAACTTAAAAACATCACCTTTTTATTTTAAAAGCCAGTAGGATGGATGTATTTCACTCTTTGTACATGAGGTGTGGGACTGCTGAAGCCATATGGGATATGAAACATCCAGCAAAGGAGGCATTTGCCAGAGAGGGTGCCTGATCTACAGTGTATGACAGTGATAATCCCAGCTCAGGAGCAACAAGTTTATTGTAAAAGGGGAAAAACCTGTATTCCCTGGATGAGATACTTGATTTCAATTTTAAATAGCTCAAATCCTCTTATTTTACTTTTTTTTTTCTACTCTGTTTTATGTTATGAGATTTTAAACATCTACATGGTACCTCTCGGCAGATGAGAGAAACACTCATCAATACTAAGAATGAGAAAATTAAAAATGGCTAACATTTATTGTGCATCTAATGTGGACCAGGTACAATGCTAAGAGATTTCATATAGATTTGATTTTTTAAAATAAACTTCACATGAGCCCTAGAAGAAGGTAAAATTATTCTAATTTTACAGATGAGGATACTGAGGCTTAGGTAGGTTAAGTAACTCGCACCCATCGGAGGAGAACCATGATGCAAATATAGCTCCATTTAAGTTCAACGGCCAACTTTTTAACTTCTGTTATGTTCTATTTCTCTCTATAATTATTTCTTTTTGTTTTTCTGATTCAAGTCAGAGAAGAATCTCTGAGCAGCAATACTTTCTCATTTAAGTTCAACGGCCAACTTTTTAACTTCTGTTATGTTCTATTTCTCTCTATAATTATTTATTTTTGTTTTTCTGATTCAAGTCAGAGAAGAATCTCTGAGCAGCAATACTTTCTTTGCAACTTTCATAACAACAAATATCATTTGAGAGTATCTAAGGATAATCATACTTATTAATAGTAATTATAATAATCATGATTATTAGTCTCTCCAATTTTATTCCTTATTAGAAAATATGCTTTACTTTCCTCACTTCCTTATTTTATGTTAATTGTAGTAATGTTTACTGGCCAGATAATACTAGTTACCAACAAGTAAAACATTTTTCGTGAAGATGATGGCTACTGCCTCACTTTAACCAAAGCGTTAAGACATAGATGTCATCAGAAATAACCTTCCTTTTTTTATTTTTGCCACTGACTAGCTAGTCTGAATCAAGACAAGTTATTAAATTGAACATCTCAGGGGTGGGAGATCAAATAAAGAGCATGAAGTCAGTTTCTACATAGCATGGTTCCTCAACATCAGCCCTACTGAAATTTTAAATAAGAAGACATTTTGTTGGGGTGGGGGGTGCATACTGTGCATTATAGGATTTTGAGCAGCATGGCTGACCTCTGCCATTTAGATGCCAGTAGCACCCTTCCCATTGTGACAATAAGAAATGTCTCCAGACATTGCAAAATGTCCCTTAATGGAAAAATCTATTCTGGTTGAGAACCACTGCCACAAAGGAACACAGGTATGACATGGATAAAGGAGCAACATGAAGCAGTAGTTGATGATAGAAGATGATTGGGTAGGGAGCAGAAAATGACACTAGTTGCTCAGATCTCTATATACTGATAACTAGAGCATGGAGAATAAATGTCATACATTCGATATTAAAACCTAATGCAATGCACATTATGACAAAAATGTCCTTGAGACTTGATGAGATGGGATTGAAGGTTTCAAAGTAGTGACAGAAATAAAAAGACTTTGTAGAAGAGTTTTGGGTTAGTATTGTATAGTATGAAAATACACTCTCCTGTTGAATCCAAACACTGAGGAAAGAATAAAGAGTAATTTCTGAGAGCTTTGACCAAGGCTAAAAACAGAGGAGAAAATACATAAGAACTGTGGACTATACCTACATCTCAGAATACTGAAAACACCCAGGGTTGATAAGAACAACCAATGAGTAAGATTCTTTCTTGTTCAGTACATCCTCCTCCATCTTATTTTTAGTCTGTTGATATAAGTACCAACGAGAGTTAAAATATCTCATGCCCTGGATAATGCACAGAGTTTGGACCCTGCATAGTAGATAGCTGATAATGCTTCCTGATCATGATGGGACAGGCAATGAGATTTGACATGAGAGTGCTTACCGTTGCAGCCAACCACATGATTTCTACATTCTTTCTTTTTTTAGCTTGGATGTTTTGATGGAGATTTTCTAATAATCCTTTTAAATCATTTTGTTCTTGAAAATGTGAAATGTCTGAAGAAAAACATAAAGGAAGGAGAAAAAAAATGAAACTGTTAGTATTAAGCTGCCCATGGAGTTTTCTCAAATATATTTGCAAGTGCAACTTTCATAACAACAAATATCATTTGAGAGTATCTAAGGATAATCATACTTATTAATAGTAATTATAATAATCATGATTATTAGTCTCTCCAATTTTATTCCTTATTAGAAAATATGCTTTACTTTCCTCACTTCCTTATTTTATGTTAATTGTAGTAATGTTTACTGGCCAGATAATACTAGTTACCAACAAGTAAAACATTTTTCGTGAAGATGATGGCTACTGCCTCACTTTAACCAAAGCGTTAAGACATAGATGTCATCAGAAATAACCTTCCTTTTTTTATTTTTGCCACTGACTAGCTAGTCTGAATCAAGACAAGTTATTAAATTGAACATCTCAGGGGTGGGAGATCAAATAAAGAGCATGAAGTCAGTTTCTACATAGCATGGTTCCTCAACATCAGCCCTACTGAAATTTTAAATAAGAAGACATTTTGTTGGGGTGGGGGGTGCATACTGTGCATTATAGGATTTTGAGCAGCATGGCTGACCTCTGCCATTTAGATGCCAGTAGCACCCTTCCCATTGTGACAATAAGAAATGTCTCCAGACATTGCAAAATGTCCCTTAATGGAAAAATCTATTCTGGTTGAGAACCACTGCCACAAAGGAACACAGGTATGACATGGATAAAGGAGCAACATGAAGCAGTAGTTGATGATAGAAGATGATTGGGTAGGGAGCAGAAAATGACACTAGTTGCTCAGATCTCTATATACTGATAACTAGAGCATGGAGAATAAATGTCATACATTCGATATTAAAACCTAATGCAATGCACATTATGACAAAAATGTCCTTGAGACTTGATGAGATGGGATTGAAGGTTTCAAAGTAGTGACAGAAATAAAAAGACTTTGTAGAAGAGTTTTGGGTTAGTATTGTATAGTATGAAAATACACTCTCCTGTTGAATCCAAACACTGAGGAAAGAATAAAGAGTAATTTCTGAGAGCTTTGACCAAGGCTAAAAACAGAGGAGAAAATACATAAGAACTGTGGACTATACCTACATTACATCAAAGAAATAGATGACATATTCCTGACTCAGATCATAAAACCTGACATAAAAGAGCTTTAATAGTCATGTGGCTTTGTACTTTCCAAAATTTTACCAGATGTTTCCTTTTAGCAAAATAAGATATCTGAGTATTTCTTGACTTTAGCTCCAGAGAATACAGGAAGTATCCCAATAAGCTATACTATGTTTATCTTATCAAAGAGCAGAAGTGGTCAATAAATGTCCGTTGAAAACAACCACATATCATCTTGGATTTCATGACCATAGAGTAGAGGAAGTTTGGGTACCACTCAAATAGACATCATGTGTTCGGGAGGTGAAATTCAAAATATTCATATTAAGTACATGCATGATTCTACTGTATTCATTTCTAAAAGGGAAAGCTATCAAAAGTCAAATCCTTGCTATGTAACTACAGATGATTCGCATAAGAAAGAGAAGGTTGGACTAAAGATATCACATTGATAGGTAGAAGACTGTCTGATAAATACGAATTTTAACAGGACACAGCCCAAATATAAATGGAAGGAGGCCAAAGGGAGAATGCCTTGAAGAGAGTTATAAAGCCAGTTCAGGACTCTTTGGCTGGTCAAAGAAGGTAAGAAAAATAACGAAGCTTTTTAAATTTATACTCATACTATACGAGAGAGAAGAAGTCAGGTTCACCACCACTGCTTTTTATGTTGATAAACTGCAACCAAAACAAACCCAGAGTAATCCATAAATTAGAATTATAAGCAGCCATTAAAAATTATGTACAGGTATGAGTATATCATTGACATAGAAAGTATCCTGGACATTGCTGAAAGGAAAAAGTGGTCAGATTAATGAATTAATGTATTCGTGTTAACAGATAATACTAGTTACCAACAAGTAAAACATTTTTCGTGAAGATGATGGCTACTGCCTCACTTTAACCAAAGCGTTAAGACATAGATGTCATCAGAAATAACCTTCCTTTTTTTATTTTTGCCACTGACTAGCTAGTCTGAATCAAGACAAGTTATTAAATTGAACATCTCAGGGGTGGGAGATCAAATAAAGAGCATGAAGTCAGTTTCTACATAGCATGGTTCCTCAACATCAGCCCTACTGAAATTTTAAATAAGAAGACATTTTGTTGGGGTGGGGGGTGCATACTGTGCATTATAGGATTTTGAGCAGCATGGCTGACCTCTGCCATTTAGATGCCAGTAGCACCCTTCCCATTGTGACAATAAGAAATGTCTCCAGACATTGCAAAATGTCCCTTAATGGAAAAAATCTATTCTGGTTGAGAACCACTGCCACAAAGGAACACAGGTATGACATGGATAAAGGAGCAACATGAAGCAGTAGTTGATGATAGAAGATGATTGGGTAGGGAGCAGAAAATGACACTGGTTGCTCAGATCTCTATATACTGATAACTAGAGCATGGAGAATAAATGTCAG